CTCAAGCCAATGAGTGTTAGCATCAAACCGCATAGCAGATCAAAGCGCAGAGACACGCTCGGCCAAAGACAAGAGATGTTCCTGCGTTTATACTGCTGGATCCCTTAATGAAGCTCTATTCCCAGCCGGACCACAGTAAACACTGAGCGGACTGCAAATCAAGAGTTTACTGGAGAAACAACAAGCGTGTCTGAAAACAACCGTACAGGAGCTTCATTCATTTACAACAGTATCGTTCTGGACTGCAGGACACCAGGACTCTCATGTAGACACATGGCGCATGCACAAAACAGGGGTGGACATCTGCGTATGCCACCTATTAGGTAAAAGTAGAGATCTATAAGCTAATATGGTCCAAAAATCAACGAGAGAGAGAGAGAAGAGAAAAATCAACAATCTACAGATAGAAGAGTGCTTCTACAGGTGGTTTGTCAAGCCCACTCACCTGAAGCACACCTCAATAATGAGATATGGAGTGATTTCCACTGAGACCCTCTTCTGAAAGCACCACAAGCATGATAAGATTCTCTGAATGCATCTGGAAGAGCAGATTTGTTTACCTGGTTAGAAAAACCTCTATTTGAAAAGAATGAGATGACAAATGACACCGTTAATTTCAAGATTACATACATACATTTATACACACACACACACACACACACACACACACACACACACACACACACACACACACACACACACACACATATATATATATAAAAGCTACTAAAATTAAAAGATCTAGGATCTGCCGAATCATCGTAGTGTAATTTAACTGGCTGTCTTGGCGACATCGAGTCATCTGCTGAAACTGTAGTACAGTAAAGGAAATACGGGAAAAACAAGTTACCAACCCATTCACTAACCAGCAGGACCTGAAATCTTTACAGACGGTTGATGATTCCAGACATTTCAGCCAATCATTACATCTGAAGATACGTCTCTGCCAATACAACAGCAGACTGTACACTAATAACACAGCAAAAGAGTCACTATAAAAGCACTTTACTATGAGATTACATTAGCTTACATTAATAAACATGCAAAAACAAACAATACAGCTACAGCATTCGTTAATATTGATTAATGTTAATTATAACACTGAATGTTTCTTTAAAATACGTGACAGTCTTCTGGTCTGCTCCAGTTGTAAGAGCAACAAATAATATCTTGACTTATCTAGGATATGAGTTGGCTTAGAGAGTGTTGTCATATGGCCCGGCACTAGCTGAGACACTTCTTCCCAAAACAGAAAATGGCAGAAAACTGTAAGAAAGCCCAATCTGCAGAAGATCAGATTATGAAGACTCCTGCAGCACAAACTCCAGAAGCCAGAGATCTCGACATGGAGCTCAAGGACTTCAAACTCTCTTCTATAAATAGAAACACACATGCCATGTCCAGCATCCACACACACACACACACACACACACACACACACACTTTCCTCTCAGTCCGTCTATACGTCTCCAACCCAAACTGTGTTCCAGTGACCCGTCAGAAAGACGAGAGATCCATTAATATTAACTTCCTTCCTTCCAGCTCCTTCAATATTTAATCAGACGTGGACACTGGCAGCTTCTAGAAGAGCAGGAGATCAGAAACACACCACTGTTCTGCTCAGAGGAGGCCTTGCACTGCTCCGACTCCATACATGGCAGACATCTGCAGCGCTGACACCACCCAACTACACCTAAACACACAACTGCATCCAACAACACCCAAATACAGGAGAACAATGAACCCTGCTGGAGCACCTGCAGCGCCAACAGCACCAGACTACACGCTACAACACCCAACTACACCCTACCACTACCCAACAACACTCAACTACACCCTACAACACTCAACTACACCCTACACTACCCAACAACCCAACAACACTCAAATACAAATCAACTTCATCTAAACAGAGGAGACCACTGAACACTGCTGGAGCACCTGGAGCGCCAACACCACTGGACTACACACTACAACACCCTACACTACCCAAAAACACTCAACTACACCCAACTACATCCAAACACAGGAGACCACTGAACTTTTCTGGAGCTCCTATAGCACCAACATCACCAACTACACCCTACAAATCTCAAACACACCCTACACCCCCCAAACACTGGAGACCACTGAAGCATCAGCAGCACTAACACCACCCGACTACACCCTACAACACACAATTACACCCAAACAAAGGAGACCACTGGAGCATCAGCAGTGCTAACACCAC